ATAGATAGATAGATAGATAGATAGATAGATAGATAGATAGATAGATAGATAGATAGATAGATAGATAGATGGATGGATGGATGGATGGATGGATAGATAGATAGATAGATAGATAGATAGATAGATAGATAGAGCACACAGGGTGAGTTGAAGATGAAGGGGTCATATCTAGAGAATAAAATTAAGGGGTGACAGAGGATTATACTAGGAGAAGGAGAAAGGGAAAGGTGGAATGGGGTAAATTATCTCACAAAAAAAAACAGAAAAGAAAAGGCTCTTATAGTGGACGGGAACTGGGTGAAGGTGAGATGAAATGAGTGAATCTTATTCTCATAGGTTTTGACTTAAGGAGGGTATAATATACACACTTAATTGGGTATGGAAATCTGTCTTACCCTACAGGAAAATAGGAGGGGGAGGGGACAAGAGAATAGGAGGATGATAGAGAGGAGGGCAGATTGGGAAACAGGGTAATCAGAAGCAAATGCTTCTGAGGAGGGACAGAGTCAAAAGAAAGAATAGAACAAATGGGGGGGACGGGATAGGATTAAGGGAAATAGAGTTAGTTTTTCATAGCATGTCTACTATGTAAGTGTTTTGCATAACTGCACATGTATAGCCAATATTAAGTTGCTTGTCTTTTCAATGAAGGTGGGTGGGGAGGGAGAAAGGGAGAAAATTTGGAACCCAAAGTTTAAAAAACACATGTTTAAAAAAAAATGTTTTCACATGCAACTGGGAAATAAGAAATATAGGAAATGGGGTACAGAAATCTATCCTGCCCTACAGGAAAATAGCAGGGGAAGGGCAGGAGAGATAGCAGGGAAAGCAGACTAGGGGAAGGGGTATTCAGAATGCATGCCATCTTGGGGTGGGGGGAGGGGCGAGATGGGGTGAAAATTTGGAACTCAAAATCTTGTGGAAGTAAATGTTGGAAACTAAAAGTAAAAAAAAAACAAAAGATACAAAATTTAAAAAAAATAAAAAAATAAAAACATCTCTTTTAGCCACTCTGCCTTGAAAGGGTATGTATGTTTCATTATCTGTTCTGTATAACTTTTATTTAGAAAAAGTACTCAGGAGGCAGTGAGGTGACCCAGTGGATAGAGCACCAGGCCTGGAGTCAGAAGGACCTGTGTTCAAATGTGACCTCACACACTTACTAGCTGTGTGACCCTGAGCAAGTCATTTAACCCCGACTGCTCTGGTCTATGTAGAGTTATTTTTGCCACGAATGGAAGGTGAGGTCAACTGAAATAGTTCAAGATTGATCTTATCAAGCTATGAAGGCGGCAGTGGAGCAGAGGAAAGCCTACTGTTCTTGGTAACAGGAAACATAGGTTTGAATTCTGCCTTTTCTACCTTATACATGGGAAATTTCATTAATCTTTCTGTCTTGGTTTCTTTATAAAAGAAAGAAGCTGGAAAAGATGACCTCTGAGACTCAAACAACTATAGGTCCTAAATCATCAACTATAAGAAATAGTTGTAGGATTTTTTCCCCAAACTATTTTCTAACCATACTGACCTCTTCCTACAAGGAGACTGGAGTAAGATTGCATGCTTCCCTGGCCCCCAGAAGACTACATTTTATTTGTTTGCATACACTACCAGCCATCACAGTTACAAGTCACCTCATAACCATTAAGTTGTGTCAGTTGCTGAGTCACTCAAAATAATGTTTACAAATGGCAGAGGCATAGATTTTTTGCACTTTTCCTTATTTCTCTTCACTCCTTTGCTGGACATGGAGATCTGAGCCAAATGCCCAATAATGAGATAACTGGAGATGGCTGAGCCAAAAGCCAGCTCCAACTTTTGCACTGGAATCTTTCCAACACATCAACAATCACTTGAGAAGACAATAACAGATTCAGGCACCAGACTTTACTTGAGGATTAAAAACCACCTGGAGCAACAGCCTTGGCCATCTGCCCTAGGTCTTGAAGCCAGCCACCCTTTGTCTTCCAAACTCAGCTGATCCCCAGGAGTCCAATATTTGATGAAGGCTTTGCCTGTTTAAATAAACATACTTTTGTATAGTAGTTTTATGGTAATTTGGATGCAGTGATCTTACAAAAAATTAAGTGGCTTTTTTTTAATGAATAACACACATAACTGCTTTTCTAATGATAGAGTGGAGGATGTACTGTCTCTGTAACCTTAGGCATGTCACTTATCGTCTCTAGGACTCAATTTTCTTTTCTGCAAAATGAAAGGGAAGGGGAGGGTAAGGAGAGGGAAAAGGGTTGGAGTAGATGGCCGCTGGGGTTGTTTCCAGCTTTAGACTTAGGATCTTGTCTGGATCATAGATGGAGATCATTTTAGATTTGAGAAAATTTAGGCTCAAGAGTTTTAAGTGGCCTGCCCATGGCAGTAGGTACCAGAAGTGGATTTGGAATACAGAGGGGTTAGATGATGTGCCCAAGGTTACACATTAAAACCAAATTAATTCTTATTGGGTTGACATATTATCCAGAATAGCCCAAGACCCTAGAGAATAAATTTCGGAACCTGATGAGACAAAGGCTGTTCAGATAAGGACGGAGACAGTATATAGTCACACTCATAGTCGACTGGGAGTTGGGTCACCAGCTTGCAGCAGCCCTCCCGTTTATCTTTGACAATTGGCCCCTTGAAAAGAATTTCTCCCAGGCAGCAGCAACTAGTCCCAAAGGTAGACCCCAGGACCCTCCGCAAAGCCTACAAGCGCTGCTCCACAGACCTTTGCACCCTAAGGCACTAGAGGTGAGAATGGGAATACTTAAGCCAGCTTCATTTCAGGGCATCTGAATTCCCTCCTCTAGAGTTGATTGGTCGAGAGGCAGAAGACAGAAAAAAGCAGCCCCACGGCCGAACTCTCCATTGGCCGCTAGGAGGTGGCAATCAGGGCGGAGCGAGGGGGTTCTGTTCGGGGCTCTGGCTGCTGCTGCTGCTGCCGCTGCCGCTGCCGCCGCCGCTGCCCCCGCCGCTGCCGGTGCCGCCGCCGGTGCCGCCGCCGCCTCAGCTGCAGCTCGGTTGCGCCTTTGCCTCTTTTGCCGCCGCTACTGTTGCGGTCCTTGAAGCTGCTGCGACTGCAAGGATCGCTCGCTCGGCACAGAGTCTGGAGAAGGGATTCTAGGGAGCTTTCCTGGGGAATCTGAGGCCCGGCTTACACTATGGTAAGTGCAGCAGCCTTGGGGGCCTGTGTTTTTTCACCTGGCTTTGGGGCGGGGGCGCTTCTGAATTGGAACAGTGGCCCGGTCTCCTGGAGAGCGAGCCCTGCGTCCTCCCAGGTCCTAGTTGGAAAGAGAAGTGTGCCAGGGCTCACTCCCCCCCACCCCCACATACACCCTATGGGGACTGGAGCGGTGGACGTAGATGGGGTGGTGGTGGTTCTAAGTGGGGATGTGGAGAAGAAAGGGAAAAATGGAAACAAGTAAGCAAGCTATCTATTTCTTCCTCCTCCTCCTTGCCCCATTCGCTTTCTCCTCCCCTGCCATCTGCTCTTGGCAAAGGGTTGGGGAATGGAGTAGAGGAGAGATAAGGGCTTGGCCCCAGGAATTTGTCCAGCTTGTGCCATAGCTGGGGGTACGGATGGTGCAAGGAAGGATGTGGCACTGTGGCGGGGGCTGGGGTTGGGGGGAACCAAGCGTGCTCACCCCCTCCCTCTCTGTGCGGATGCTGAGCTCCGCAGATAGCAGTGGCAGCAGGTGAGCAGAGGAGAATAAGGGAGCCCCGTGGCCTGGATGAATTTGGGACCGGACTCTTGGTGCCCTTGGATGCATCCAGCTCTGGTCGTCTGAGCAAGCCTCCAGTAGAGAGTTGTACCCAAGATCCAGTCCGAGGAATCACACGGGCACAAGCTTGCCAAATGGATTAACCCACTGCGTTCCAGGAGGTGGGCGGGGAGGTTGGAGGAAGGGAGAAGATGGTTTCTCCTTACTGACATCTGCCTTTTAGTTCTAATGTCCCTCTGTCTATATTTACAGTACGGATTCGTGAATCACGCTTTGGAGCTCCTGGTAATACGGAATTATGGCCCTGAGGTCTGGGAAGATATCAAGTAAGTGTGGCACTTCTCGCCTCCCATAGTGCGCACACACACACACACACACACACACACACACACACACACACACACACACACACACACACACACACACACACGAACTCTGACTGCATTCCTAATACCCGTGGACTAAGATCCAGGGCTGCAGAAGGAACAATCTCTGCATCCTCCCACGAGTCCCGAGCCGAGCAACCCAGGCTCCTTCCTCCTCCCTAGAGAAACCCTTTTGCTTCTGCTCCCAGCTGCTGCCCAGTCCCAGAGCGGCCTTCGCTCCGGGTTCCCACGCTCCGGAGGGAAGGATGGAGGCAAGGGAAGCACTGAGTGCCGCCGAGAGGGCGCGGTTCAAGGCCAAGGGAGGGAGTAAGAAGAGAAGGAAAGAGGTCCTGCGGTCACCACCATCTCCCTACAGAGTCTAGTCTGTTTCGCCTCTGGCCCAGCCGTGGGAAAGAGCTGCTAATGCCCCTACGTGACCCTAGAGCTGGTCAGTTCCTTCTTCTCCCATACTGTTTAGGAGCCTAAGAAACACCAGCCCTTAGCCAAAGCCTGGCAGGCCATGGACTGTCTTGCCTCCAAGGAGCTTTTTTTCCCCCTGAAGGATTTTGACTAGAGGAAGGCCATGGACCACTTGGGGGCAGGGGAAAAGGGGGAGGATTTCACAGTCTTAGTAAAAACAAGAAGAGTAATGTTATTGAGACATGATTTTTTGGAGCAACTAGGGCTAAGTTCACTGCTGCTTCTGAAATATTTGCAAAGTGAGATATGTAGGAATTTCTACTTCCTCTTCTCAAACTTTTCATGGAATCATTATCCAGCTGATAATTTACAGCCTTAACCCTGGTCTCTTCTATGGAACTATCAACCATTCATCTAGGAATCAACAAACATTTATTAAATATCTTCTATGTGCCAGGTACTTTGAGTTTGCAGCAACCAGAGCAATCAGTGTCTGAGCTCTGCAAGGAAACGTTGATTAACCCAGAAACCTTCTGTGGTGGCAGTCACTACTTAGTAGAGGCAACTAGCAGTCACAAAGACTTTCCTTCAAATGAGTCTTGGAATTTGTGATCATTCTATTGTACCCACTACCAATAACACCAACCAGATATTTCTGGACCTTTCATATTTGATAAATAATAGAATGCTTCCCACTTCTCTCATAAATTACTGATGATTTTTTCCCTCTTGATGTGTCTTGATGATGTGATATTTAAGAAGGATTTTCTCTATAAGTCATTAATAATATGTAATAATTCTATATTATTTATTCTCTCAGTGCTTTACAGCTATAACTAATTAATCCTTATCTATATTATGAGGCAGTTAAAGTTTCTTGTGCTCTGACAAAATCTGTTTTCATGGAAATGTTCAGGGTTTCAAATGGAAACTAAGAAATGAACAACTTTGTAATTATAATGCTTTTCATTTACCTGTCCCTATCTGGAAAATATTTTATCTTTTGAATCTTAAAGGAAAATTTAGATTTGGCAATTAACCTTTTGAATTAGCTGGGCAAATAAAATTCTTAGGTCTACATTTGGCCATGAATTTGGCATCTACATTGATAATTGGATAATTCCCACTTAGCTTTATTGCCACAACCATGGAGACATAAGACATTAAAGTTTAATTATTTAACAGTGTGATTTAAATGTTAGTACAGGCATAGAATACTAATGAAACTGTTTCAACGTTAGATAAAATAGATAACCTTTATTGAATAACCTCACCTCATCTGTAAAATGGGAATACTAATCATTTCTTGCTTCTGAAGTACAGTGAGAGCTAATCAGTGTTTGCTTTTTAAATATCTGTTCCTGACATGGGACATTCTATCACCATACCTTTGGGTAGGCTGTCCTTTATGTCTGAAATGCACTTACCTCTTAGAATTACTTGTTTCCTTTAAGGTACAGCTCAAATGCCACCTACTATGTGAGGTTTTTCCCAATCTCTCCAGATGCACTTAGTACCTCTACCTGAAGTCATGATGGAATTACTTTGCATGTGTTTGTTCTGTACTCATAGATGTACGTATTGCCATCTCTAATAAAATGTAAACTCTGAAAAGGCAAGGACTGTATTTAAACCATTTTTGTTTTTGTATCCTGGGTGCCTAGTACAAACTCTTGCATGTTGTAGGCACTTAATGAATGCTTGCTGATTGATATATGAAAGAGCACCTTTATCCTCAAAAGACACAACATAAATGTATAAACTATGGGATGGTTTAAAAAAAGTGCCCTGGGCATCAGGAAATCTGGTTTGTATGTTCCACCTTTGCCACTGTTTAACTATGTGACCTCTGGCAAGCCAGTTAGTGTCTTTGGGCCTCAGTGTTCTCCCCTGTAAAAGGAAGTTTTTGAATGAGATGATTTCTAATGTTCCTTTCCAGCACCGGCATTGCCTGATTTTTATCTGAATGACTAAAATAGAAGCAAAGCTCACACATTCCCAACCTCCTGTCTAGTTTAGACTCCTGTCTAGTGATGATGATGAAAAGACATTTTTTAAATACAATTTTCTTCTGGTTAATTAAAAAAAAAGATTAATGATTACATTGACCAATATCGAAAGCTTCCCCTCTGTAGAACATTAAAAATTATCCAAAAGCAAAAACAAAAAAAAGGTCATGCAAGCAAGGCTTTGATTCAGCCAGATGATGCTAAGAAATCAGCCACACCCCACATATTTAATAAATCTAAACCAATTTTTTGTTTCTTTTGGAAGACAAATGGCTTTTAACTCATTAATTCTTGTTATGTTGGTGTGAGTAATATTCTTGCATTCTGCTTAAGAAACTATGTTTAAACAGCATAAGAAATGCATTGGGTCACATGAGAAATCACATCAGTATTTTTCATGCATAATTGACTCAAAGATTATGTTGCCTTGGAAAGGAAATACTATGGCTTAAAATAGAACCTAGAAAGTGGCTCAGCTGCTGATTGGTCTTATCATTCCAAAGAAGATCGTCTCTGTTTATGGAATTTTAAATCTGGTTTAAAAAAATTGGTTCCATACATTGAATAAAAATGTTGTATGAAAATAAAAACATTTACAACTCCCCACCTATACCCTCATACTTAACTAAAGCTTTTCCCTTTCTCTCTGATCTGCTGGTGACTCTTATAAAGCTGACAATAAAAGCTAATGTATTTTTGTTGAATTTAGTAGAATAAGATCTCCAGATAGTCAAATCTATCCTGCATCAGAGAGACTGCCAAACATTTAATAACAAATGAAACCTAAGTGACAGGTTCCAGACAGGAAGCTCTAAATGGATAAAAGCTCTCAATATTTCATTCTATTAATTTCCACTTTCTCTCTTGACCACAATGTAACCTTCTCACTTTTAATTGTCCTTTTCTGGAAAGAGGAGGAGTAAGGAGACTAAGGCAGGAAAAATCCTTATGCCATGAGGGGCCAACGTAGACAGATATTTTATAATGTAGTTCAACTTCTATGTTTTGTTTTTCCTTTCTGCAAACTCCTCTGTTGCTTTGAAGGGCTCATGGTATTTCTAGGAGCCATTGTTTCTCTTTGGAAAAAAACAAAACAATAAACCATTATTTATTTGACTCATAAGCACTTAGGTATAGTGGAAACAGCAGCAACTGAAAAAACTTGGGTTCATATTCCACCTCTGACTTTGACTGACTGTGATCACAGGCGTATATTTTTTAACCTCTGTAAGCCTCAGTTTTGTTATCTATAAAATGGGGGTGGTGGTATCTCACAGAAATGTTTTGGGGTTCAAATGAGAGAAGAAATATGTAGCTTCTCCACATTTTCTCTCATAGATTTTATTAGATCATAAATTTTTAAAAAATGCTCCTTCTGCTTCCATAGGAAGAAACACAAGATAATCATGTTTCATTACGTACTTTTGGAGTTACAAATGTAGCTCAGACTATCAGACCCAACTGCCTTTTTCCCAATATTCCATTTGTAACTTAAAGATAGAATAATTGTCTCAATTGTCTCCGTGGGAGAGCTTAGTGAAATAAGCATAACATATATAAAGAGCTTCAAAAGTTTAAAAAGGCCTTCCTTAGAGATCATCTTGTCCAACACCATCACTTTACCAAATAGGAAAACCAAAAGGGGAAGTGATTTGCCTATGGTCATGTATAACTAGTAAGTAACAGAAGTGGCGCTTTCACACCACACTGCCATCCCAGAATGCACCAGGAATAGTAGGAATAGCTTATAAAGCAAATTAAATCATCTACTACAAACTAAGGCTTCCTAAATAATAAACAAAATCATTGTCTTCCAGAAACTCTGTTAGGGTTTTTTTTCACATTTTTATTTATAGTTTTGAGTTCTAAATTCTATCCCTCCCTCTCACCCTCAACTTCTCCCTTCACTGATATGGTAAGCAATCAGATATAGCTTATACATGTGTAATTATGTAAAACACTTCCATATTAGTCATTATGTACCAGAAGACTCAAACAAAAAAAAAATGAAAGAAAGTGAAAAATAACACGCTTCAGTCTGTATTCAAACAATATCAGTTCTTTCTCTGGAGGCAGATAGTATGCTTCATCATTAATCCTTTGGGATTGTCTAGGATCATTGTATTGTTGGGAATAGCTAAACCACTCACAGTACTTCATTGAACAATATTGCTGTTACTCTGTACAATATCCCCCTGGTTCGATTCACTTCACTATGCATCAGTTCATCTAAGTCTTTCCAGGTTTTTCTGAAATTATCCTACTTGTCATTTCTTATAGCACAATAATATCCCATTACAATCATATACCACAGCTTGTTTAGCCATTCCCCAATACCATAAGCAAATTGAGAGAACATGGAATAGTTTACATGTCAAATTTATGGATAAAGGAAGATATAGAAAGCACTACAAAATGTAAAGTAGATAATTTTGATTATATAAAATTAAAAAGTTTTTGCACAAACAAAACCAATGCAACCAAAATTATAAGGAAAGCAGAAAACTGGAAGGAAATTTGCATCAAGTATCT